TTATCGGCACGCGTGTGCAAACTGTCAAGTACATATATATATATATATATATATATATATATGCGCGTGTGTGTAAAGGGTATTGCATATGGTGATAAGTAGGTGTGCGTGTAAATCTATATATATATATATATACATATATATATATATATATATATATATATATGCATGCATATATGTGGTCGCATATGCCTATATATATCTGCACCGGGGAGATTACGTATTGTGTATTACAGTGGGGGTGTTAGTTCCGCTGTTTGATACAAGGCCAAACATGCTTTCAGTAATTAGTTTCTATATTTGTTGAATTGGTTACGCTGTCTCTTGTTTGGTTTTGCTCTGTTTCGTTGGCTGCTGGCTTTTGGCATTTATATGCTGCCCTTGGCTGTTTAGTTGCTGCTTTGTGTTGCTCATCCGCTCTTTCTCGTTGCTTACGTGTTGCAGTGTTATTCTTTATTTGCTGTTTTTTGTTGTATACCTGATGTCTCGTGCTGTTATGTGGTACATGCTTCAGTTTCGTTGCTGCTTCCTCCATTGCCGTTTTTTGTTGTTTATTCTCTGCTTTTCATCTCGTCTTGCCGCGCTGGTTCGCTCATTTGCTGTTTCTGACGTCTTATTCCATTTGTTGTTCGTATTGTCTTCTTTGCTGTTTGCTTTTTGTTGCTTTCTGCATATGATGCAGGATCAGATCGCCTACCGATTGGGGGCCCGCATGCGCTGCATCTGACGGTTGGCCGTCACGGCCTTGACACGGATCGGTGGGTGAAACGAACTTAGATGCTTGTATTTTTATATCCCGAGTGTTCAACTTTATGTTATGGAGATAATAAGCATGCATATATATAATGTACATATATATATGTACATTTATTAATGCATAAATGCATGCATACGCACAGATAGATAAAAATACTTACATATATGTATATATCGTGTATGGTTTTATTCATTTGCATTAGATATGCCCAGTAAAGGGAAGCTCGTCGATTCCGCCCGGTTGTTTGCAGCTTGCTTCTATCCTTGCGTGTGTATACACATATAGATATTTGCATAGACGTAAATGTATATATATCTACATATTTCTAGACAAACACACACCCTCTATATATATATATATATATATATATATATACGTATCAGTTAATGTACAGTTGCGAATAGGTAGTAGAAGTTCGATCGGTAATAGCCTCAACCAGAGACCGTGCGCACACAACGCAATGCATATATGCACGACCTATATTAGTAAATATATGCATGAAAACAGCAGTATGTGTATATATCAATATATGTATATATATATATATATATCTGTATACATTATTATACCTCCACATCACTTGTACAGATCGCAAGTGGTGTAATGGAGGATTGCATGCTGCTTGGTTTTGATGTTTTTCGTCGGGCTGTTTGTTTTAATGGCTTACAGTTTGACTTTTAATTAGTGTTGTATTTGATATTTGCCTTGTTGTTTTCTAATTCCATTGTTTGATTTCTTGCTCGTTTTGCTGTTTGCTTTCAGTCTACCCACATCACACACGTGCTTCAACTTCTTGCTGCTCCCAGACTATAGCAGTCAAGAGAAAATGCAGAGGCTGCTGCTCATTGCCATCCAAAACTGCCGTGGGTTCGGCCTCAGGTAGGCAGATACCGCATCAGGAACTACGGCAGCAGCTGCAGCAGCAGTAGTAGTAGTAGCAGCTGCTGCTGCAGTACAAGCAGCACTGGAGCAGCACAGAATGTACTACCAGCAGAAGCAGTTTAAACAGTAAACGTTGTAGCGTCTTCGCCACAAATGCATCACAAATGCATCAAGCCCTGCAACGGCAACTGTAGCCGAAGCTGAAGCAGCTTTTGTGATGCGGTTGTCTTCGGACACGGGCTTTGCGGCATTTTCTAGAGGCTGAAGACAGCGCACGCAGCTTATCGCCTAAAACCCCGCAGCAGAAGCAGGAGTAGCTGCAGCAGGAGTCGCTGCAGCAGTAGTCGCTGCAGCAGTAGTCGCTACAGCAGTAGTCCCTGCAGCAGCAGTAGCTGCAGCGGTAGTCGCTGCAGCAGTAGTAGCTGCAGCATTAGTAGCTGCAGAAGGAGTAGCTGCAGAAGTAGTAGCTGCAGCATTAGTAGCTGCAGCAGGAGTAGCTGCAGCAGTAGTACCTGCAGCAGCAGTATGCGCAGCAGGAGTGAATGCAGCTGCAGAAATTGAGGAAATGCGGGGGCTGTTAGGAGAGAAGTGTTGGTCTTTCTTCTGCACTTTCATGGGTGTGCAACTGGACATGAGAGGCATAATAATACTTGTGCATATCATATGCACATATATTATGCATTTTACATTGGTCTATATCTATATATATATAGTGACGCGCCATCAGCAGCAGGAGCAGCAAGAGACGGCTACAATTGCAGCACCAGGCTGCCGTAGGCTCAGTTCTATTTATCTGTATTTTCTGTCTTGCAAATATAAATAAGGTAGCCAATAAAGAAGCATCAAGCGCAACTCAGTCGGTTTACTGGACAAACTCCCGCATCTCCAGCTCTCAACCCTAAACCCTAAACCCCAGGTAATAACAGACAATAGACACAACACGAGAGGAGCAGCACAGCAAGGACAACCAAAAAGAGAAAAACCATAGGAAAAAGATTAAGGTACTCGATGCCTCTAAGTAGTGTTGCTGCGGCACGAGCAGCAAACGAAGAGGCTAACAAAACTGAAAAAGCGTCAATGGTGCTCCTGTAGCAGCTGCAGCAAATCAACGTCAAACAGCCTTCAAATGCTGCTGCTGCTGCAGCTATCTTTTTGCGAGGACTAGAGCTGATGCCGATCGCTGCAATGCTGTGCTACTGCAAACAGACATAGCAGCAGCAGCAGCTGCATCACCAAAGTCTACAGTTGACCAGCCCTTTTGAGGCGTTTCAGAGGCTCCAGTTCCCAAAGACAGACACACGTGTTTCCGCCTGCAGCAGCAGCTGCTGCTGCTGCAGCTGCTGCTGCTGCTTCGCCGGGCCGCGCAACCCGTCTCTCTTCCCATTCAACAAATACCCCGCCCCACACGCCAGCAGCTGTGGCATCGATTCTGCGGATAATGCCAGACAGCCGCTGCTGTTGTTGCTGCTGCTGTTGCTGCTGCAGCGCCACATCCAATGGTGCGAACCCGAGGCCGCGCGGTACAGGCGGCAGGGGCACTGCAGCAGCAGCAGCAGCAGCAGCAGCAGCGCAGCAGCCCAGCTGCATGCGGAAACGCATGCCAGGGGCCCAGCCTACCTCCAACGCCTGCAACACTTTGCTGCACCGGATGACAAATGTACGGCCCTTGGGCAGCAGCGGGATACTCAAAACGACAAACCGCAGTTTCTGCTGCTTCCCCCTAGCAGCTACTGGAAGTTCATTTACTTCCTCTGCTGCTGCTGCTGTTGTTGAAGCACACTCTGCGTTGCCAGAAACACACCCGTCTGCTCCGCTGAGGACATCAGCCTGCCGCTGCTGCTGTTGCTGTGTGTCTCCTGCTGGTGCTGCTGCTGCTCCTGCTGTTGGTTTGCTGCTGCCACCCCCGGGGAAGGCCCTACCGAATCGTGAGGAATGTCGCGTTACCCGGCCTTCGCTGGCAGCAACTGCAGCAGCAGCAGCAAGACCCTCCAGGCCCTCAACGACAGCATCTGCTGCTGCTTCATGCCTTCTGTAACAAAGCATTGCACACAGCACGCAGCAACAGCAACACTAACTGCAACACCAACACCAACTGCAGCAGCAACACCAACTGCAGCAGCAACCCCAAACAGCCAGAAGCAACAAATGCAGCAGCAATCCCCCGCTAATTCGACAGAACGAGGTCGTGTAATCACAAGCAACACGACTGCTGCAGCAACAGCAGCAGCTAACACAGCAACAGCAGCAGCAAACGCAGAAAGAGCAGCCCACCGAGTTGCTACAGAACAGACAAGACGATAGTGTGGGCAAAGAGACGCATCAAGAACTCCTGCCCCAACAGCATCAGGCGCCTGCTGAGTAAGCTGTTGCTGCTGCTGCAGCAGCTGCTGCAGCTGCAGCTGCTGCTGCAGATACACCTGGGCAGCAGTACCACTCTTCTCGGCCAGCCGCAGCGGATCAGCCTGCAGCAGAAAATCTTCAAATGCCTTCGAGACGAGTCCCTCAGGCGCATGCAGCTCAGCTCGGCTTCTGCTGCGCCAGGCAGCTGGAGTTGACGCCCCTCCCGGGCTGGAAGCGGCGGGTGGAGTTGCTGCTGCTGCAGCAGTAGCAGCTGCTGCAGCAGTAGCTGCTGCTGTTGCTGCTGCTGCTGCTGCTGTTGCATCTGGGCACTGCGAGCCCTCAAGCTGCAGCGTCGACCGCTCAGCAGCCGCAGGTTCCCCAGCATTCGTTGCAGTAGCCAGTGCTGCTTGCTGCTGCAGTTGCTGCTGCTGCTGTGCTGAGGGCGGTTTGACGAGTCCTAGGACAACGGGGTCTTCTTCAAGAGAAAAAGAAAAAAGGGAAGGAACTAAACCAAAGTCTGCTGCCTCAGCGCAGCCCCCAGGCATCGCCTGGAGCGCGTTGTGCTGTAGTGCAGCAGCAGCAGCAGCAGCATTAGTGGCAGCAGGGGACCCCGCAGCAGTAGCCGCAGCAGCTGCAGCTGCTGCTGCTGCCGCTGCTGCCGATGCGAGGGGAGGCTGAACCTGCAGCGCCGGGGGCAACAAGCCTGAGAAGCCCCCAAAGAACTCAATGGAGTGTACGTACAGCTCTTCAATCCACCCCAACGTCTCAGGTGCACGCAAACTGCAGCAAGTCTGTTCGTAGCTGCAGGAGCCTGCTGCCTGTTCCTACGGCACGCAACACATATAACACACAACGCGGCTCTTGTCGCTGTCCCTGGAGGTGATGCTGTCCCTAATATACTGCTCCTGTTTGCTGCCGTCCTTCTGCTGCTGCTGCGGCTGCCCCTGTGCCCCTCCTCCTCTTTCCTTGGTGCTGCCGCCGCTGCTACTGCTTCTGCAGCAACGGCAGAAGCGACAGCAGCAGCAAATGCAGCAGTGCTGGTTCACCTGTCTCAGGGTCTCTACTAGTTCCGTGTGTCCCTTCCTGAAAAAGAAGAGACGCTCGCCTTCCCGTGGAATTTCCTGCCGCTGCTCGTCCGACGCCAACAGCTGCTCGAAGGCATCTCTGAGCAACAACAGCAGCAGCAGCAGCACAGGCAGCAGCTGGAACGCAAGAAGCAGTGGCCACAAAGGCAACACGGACGCAGCAGAAACAAAAGCCCCAACAGCTGCAGCAACCACACGTGCAGCAGCAGTTGCAGCACCACTAGCAGCAGCAACAACCGCAGAAGCATGGGCAGCAGCAGAAGCATCAGCAACAGCTGATGCAGCTGCAACACAAGTGGCAGCCACCATGGGATGGTTATTAGCAGCATAAGAACAAGAGCCAACGCAACAGCAGATAGTGTTTAAAGGCTGCATCCAGCTGCTGCCACGGAAACCAACTCCAGCAGCAGCAGCAGCACCAGCAGCAGCACCTGCTGCTCATCGTGTTCTACTGCTATCGCTGCCAAGCAGTAAATAGGCACTAGAAAGGAAACTCCGCAAAAGAGAAGATACCTTTTCTTCTACTGCTGCTGCTACTATTGCTATTGCTGTACCTACTGCTGCTCTTGCTGCTGCTGCTGCGGCTGCACGGTTACCTGGATATGGGAGCGTAAAGGTCTGTAAGTCGCTGGCAGCTGATGCCTGTTGCCTTCCATACATTCAAGTAGAGGCCCCACACCTGCAGCAAGTCAAGGCGGCGACGCACCTCTTGCCACTGCTGCTCCTCAAATGAACTGCTGCTGCTGCTGCTGCTGCTGCTGCCGCTGCTGCTGCCGGCTGAGGCGGCTACTCCAGAGGTGAACAGAAAGTCATATGTGGCTTCTAGCAGCTGTAGCACTGCCTGTTCCGCCCAGCCAAACCCGCAGCACATACACCGTAGCAGCGAAGCAAAACGGCTTGCTGCTGCTGCTTCCTCGGGGTCTTCGCCAGCTGCTGCTGCTGCTGCTGCTGCTGCGGCCGCCGCGTCGCCAGCAGCAGCAGCAGCAGCAACTGCAGCATCGATGCTGTCTCGAGAGACCGAACAGAGACCAGCCACAGGCGGCAAGGCCTCCATCTGATCTGCTGCATCTCCAGCAGAAGCAGCAACACAAGCAGCAGAATCACCAACGTCAGCAGCAGGATTGTCTGCCGCTACTCCTGCAGCAACCTCTTCCCCGTCACCAGCGGCGCCGCAAGCAGCAGCGGCAGCAGCAGCAGCAGCGAGGCCATCTTCAGGATCCTCCCCCATCCTGTGTGCTGTGTCGCTGCAGCGTTTGAGCGTCAGTGCTGCTTCTAAATCTTCATGCAGCAGCCTCGGGTGTCTCCGCACCCCGCCCGTTTTTGGATGTGCTGCTGCTGTTGCTGCTGGGCACTCCTCCGACGCCTCAGCAGCAGCAGCAGCAGCAGGGTTCAAAGCCTCTGGCGGCAAGTCTTGCTGCTGCCCTGGGGTAGGCAGGAGGACAGGCAGCTGCAACGACAGCTGCTGCAGCTCCTGCTGCCAGATATGACGTCTATACACCCAACTCTCTGCATGCACCGACCCCGCCGCCTCTACTAACGCCTCCACGTAGAGCAGCAGCTGTACCAGCACGGCCTGCAGCAGCAACATCAGCAGCACCAGCAAATGGTCTTGGTGAGCAGCAATCCTCATGCAGTAGGCAAACCTAAGCCACGCAGCGGCAGCAGCGGAAGAAAGAGCAACAGCTGCAGCAGCGGTTGCTGCTGTTGCAGCTCGACAGCAGCAGCCTCTGTAGCAACGGCAGCTGCATTCGCCAAAGGCAGACGTCGCAGCAGCACCACCACACGCAGCGGCGGCAGCAAGAGCAGCAACAGCTGCTGCAGGTCGACCTGCTCCCCCTGCTGCTTGTAGCTGCAGAAAGCTCACCAAGAAGAGAGTCTGTTCCATCCACAGCCTGCGATGCTGCCTCCTGAGCTTAGCTGCTGCTGCCGCTGCTGTTGTTTCTGCAGACAGCTCCTGCTGGTAGCAGGAAGGTCCTTCTCCCCAGAAGGGGCAGCAGCACACTGCAGCTCGCGTCAGCACCGCCAACGCCCCAGCGAAAGCCATGCACGGAGACATCTGCTGCTGCTGCTGCTGCTGCCAGAGGAGAGGGTAGCAGCGCGGCAACAGGGAGGAATTAAGGGCATGCAGCTGCTTGCAAGCCAACCAAACTGCAGCAGCAAGAGACGATGGCGGAATAATAGCAGCAGTGTCTGTAGGGGAGAGCTGCTGGTCCGTCTCCAGCTGCACCAGCACAGCAGCAGCAGCAGCAGCAGCAGCAACCCGGCTCGGGTATCATCATTCCCTCATTTAAATGAATGGGAAATGATGCAGCAGCAACAAACTAGCAGCAAAAGCCACAAAATCCAAGGACACAACGGCAGCAGCAGCGGATGCAGCAGCACAAAAGACAGCAGAGGAAATGCGAAACAACGCAGCGGCAGCAGGAAACAAATCAGCAGCAGCAGCAAGCACAGAAGCAGCACCAACAAACTACTGCGGATGCATCAGCAACTACTGCAAAGCCGGCGGCTCAACCAATACAGCAGCAGCAGAAAAATACAAATAGCAGCAGCAAACAGCACAGCAGCAGCAAATTCAGCCGCAGCAGCGGCTATAGTTGCTGCATACCGTGTCTAGCACGCGACCTAAGTTGAGTTTGAGTCCTCTCTCTCTCTTCAATCCAGGAGACAACGCCTCCCTGAGGCTACGGAGAGCAGCAATGTTTGAAGGCACGAAGCAACAGATACTGCGCTGCTGCTGCTGCTGCTGCAGAAGCTGCAGGAAAGCTGCCAACGACTCCACCCGCACAGGCCTCCGCCGCACCGGCCACGCCGACAGTTTGCAGCAGCTGAAGAGAGCAGCTGAGTCCCCTGATGGAGGAAACACCCTCAAGCACCCCCCACTGCTGCTGCTGCTACTGCTGCTATTACCATTGCTGTTGTTGTTGCTGCTGCTGCCGCTGTCGCTGCTGTTGCTGCTGGTGATGGAGTCGTTGCTCGTGCTACCGTTGCTCTGGTCGGTGCCACTGCTACGTATGCTGCTGCTGCTCACCCCACCGTTACATGCTTCACTGTCGAGGCTGCTGCTGCTGCTGCTGCTGATAATGTCTGCAGTGCGCTTTTGCCTTTCCGAGGTTGCCGGAGTCTCCACTTCTATTTTGGCGTCGCTGCAGCAGGTGCTTCTCTGGTGCTCTCCGTTTGCTGCAGCATCGGATGGTGCTGCTGCTGCTTCCGCTTCGGCAGCAGCAGCTGCTGCCGCTCTCTGCAGCAGCAACCGGAGGGGAGATGGCTGGCAGCAGGTCTCCACGTACACCCGAGAAGCCTCGCCGTGGGGCCCCATGCATGCAAAATAACGATTAAGAAATCTGTCTTCACCTAACATTTCAGCACGAAGCACAAAACAACTCTGCAGCCTCTCTGCCTCTGCATTTGAAACTCTCCCCATTGGCTTCCTTCGCTGAGAGCGTCCTCCACCGGCTGCTGCTGCTGCTGTCCCTCCTCCTCCTCCTCCAGCTGCTGCTGCTGCTCCAGCGAAAGACGCCTCCTCTGCAGATAACAGTCACGCAAAGCGACGGCAGCAACAACTAGTCGCTGCTGCATATAAACTTCCATCTTGCGAGCAGCAGCCGCAACAGCAGCAAAGACGGGGACAACAGAAAACCACAGCTGCAGCGACGCAGCAGCAGTAGCAGGACCCACCGCCTTCGTCCTTTATTGCTGCTGCTGCAGCAGACGACAACTCCTTGTTTGCTGCTGTTGCTGCTCCTTCCCCCTCTTCAGCTACGGGTTTGTCTTCTCCATCCTGCAGTGTACATGCACAGCAGCAACCACACATCATCCTTTCCTGCTGTTGCAGCTGCATGCAAGAAAACGCAGGTTAACGACTGCATACCTTTTCTGTCCTGGAGTCTGCAGCAGCAGAAGCAGCAGCAGCACCAGGGGGAGCGAGGTATTCGTCTTCAGCAGCACCTGCTGCTGCTGCTTTAAGCCTCAGCACGTTAACCCGTGCACGCCCCAGCGCTTCCAGCTTCGCATCTATGGCAAACTTGCCTTGCCAGTTGTCTGATACAACCCGCTGCAGCTGCTGCAACACGAAGCAACGCAGCTCCCGCGGAAGCAGCCAGAAGCTGCTGCGTCTGCAGCAAAGCGAAACGCATTCCTCGTCAATGCAGCCATCCATAACATCAGACGCAACAAGATAGCAGCAGCAGCAGCAGCAGCAAGAACCTGGTGTTGTCACTCAGCTCATCAGCAGCAGCACCAGGAGCAAAGGCTGCAGCAGCACCACCAGCAAAAGCAACTCTACCAAGTGCAACAGGTGCAGCAGCGGCAAAGGCAACAGCAGCAATGCCAGTAAAGGCAACAGCAGCAGCAGCAGCAGCGTGCCTCAGTGCATGTAGGGCCAGCAGCAGTTTGTCCACAGTTGACGCCTCAACACCGCAAATATCGGAGCGGCTCAAGTCGAAGGCCCACTCCACAGCAGGGATGCCTCCTTCTGCTGCTGCTGCTGCTGCAGCTGCTGTCTGTTCCTCTTCCTCTTCATGATCGCCCTCTATGCTGCTTCCCTCAGAAGCATCGTCCTCCCCCGCGACCTCGGGGTTGCTGCTGCTGCTGCTGTTGTTGCTTCTGTTGCTGTTGCTATGGCTATTGCTGTTGTTGCTGCTGCTGCCGCCCGGGGGCTCCTCTACATCCATTGCTGCTGCGTCTGCTGTTTCTGCTGCTGCTGCGTCTGCTGCCGTTTGTGCCTCCTGCTGCAGCAGCATCGGAGCGTCTGCTAGCACAGAGGAAACCGCGTCGCCGGCCTCCGGAAGTTGAGCGGCTGTTGCTGCCCCTCCCGCTGCTGCTCCTTCTGCTGCTACTGCTTCTGCTGCTGCTACTTCTGCTGCTGCTGGTTCTGCTGCTGGCGACTGGTTATCGTCGCTAACCCCGTTTGGAGCGACGGGCGCTGCTGCGGGTGCTGCACCAACATCACTCCCTCCACCAGAGTCCACAGTTACGCCTGCCGCAGCAGTTGCTGCTGCTGCAGCAGCTTCTGCTGCTGCAGCAGTTGCTGCTTCTGCAGCAGTTGTTGCTGCTGCAGAAACGTCCGCAGCAGCCTCGCTTGCTGCAGCAGCTACTTCCTCTTGTTTAACTGTACCCTTCTCGAGGGAGTACGACCCCACGGCCTCTGCTGCTGCTAACTCCTGCTCATCTTGCTGCTCCTGCTGCTGCTGCTGTCCCTGTGGCTGCTGCAGCTCCTGCTGTTCCTTCTTTGCAGGAAGCGGTGCCCCTCCCAACGCTAAAGGCTCCTCAGAAAGCTGCGCTGGCTCTCCTCCACCTGGCTGCTGCTGCTGCTGCTCAGCAGGCACGCCATTCTGCAACCCGTCCATGCTCGCAGCAGCAGCAGCAGCATCAGCATCAGGCGCCTCTGGTGCTGCTGTTGCTGCTGCGGTTGCTGCTGGCGCTGCTGCTGGATGAGCAACAGTTGCCTGGGAGAGTTTAGGGGGAGCGATATACTTCCTAACTGGGGTGTACATACACTCGAACAGCAGCCGCTTCAGCAGCAACGGTGCTGTTAAGGGGTCAAGCAGCCGCAAATCTAAGGGAAGGCCATCGAGAGCACGTAGAGCTCTGCACGGCAGCACCAGCAGCTGCTGGTGCGCCTGCTGCTGCTGCAGTAGCAGCTGCTGTTGCTGTAGCTGCAAGTGCTCCTGCGGTGTTAGACGGCGCAGCTGCTGCAGCTCAGTTGGCCTCTCTCCTGCCATACACGCATAAAAGGCCGCCGCTGCTGCAGCACAAGCAGCAGGAGCAGCAGCCGACTTTGCCGGATCGCAATCACTGCTGCTGCGTGTGCTGCTGCTGCTTGTGGTGCAGTTGTTTGCGCCGTCTTGCCCCAGAGGCCTCTGCTGTCTGCGCTGTCTCCTGAGGTGTATCTGCTGCTGCTGCACCCCGACTCCAGCATCGACGCCTATCCAAAGAGCAGCCGAAACCTGACTCTCTTCGGGAGTCAGAGGATCCGCTGCTGCTGCTGCTGCGCTGCTGCTGCTGCTGCCGCTTGCTGCTGCTACGCGGGGCAAGGCATCAGACAGCTGAAGCACCCCCAGCTGCAGCAGCCGCAGCAGCAAAGCATCCCCAAGGAAAAACGGCAGCTGCTGCGCGCAGGTTGCGGAGACGTTCGGGTCTTGAGCTGCCACTGCTGCTGCTGCTGCTGCTGCTTCTGCTGCTGCTGCTGCTGCTGCAGCCTCCGCTGCTGCTGCCTCGCTCCTCTCTTGGCCCTCCTCATCCTCGGAGGAACAAGACGCCTCCTCTTTCTCACATTCTTTTGTTGCCTCTGTGGTCTTCGCCGCTGCTGTTGCTGCTGCGGCTGCTGTCGCTGCTGCTGCTGCTTCGCCGCAGGATTCTGCCCCGCTCTCCTCTCCTCCACTGCCCCGACTTGCTGCTGTCTCTGTTGCTCCTGCCTCCGCTGCTGCAGCAGCAAGTGCCCCTGCTGGTGCTGTTGCATCATCTACCCCTGTCGCCGGTGCTGGTACTGCTGCTGCTGCTGCATCCGCTGCCTTTGCTGCAGCTGCCCCCTCACTGCTCAACGTGTCTTCTAACATCGCGGCGCTTTCGGCCTCAAATGTGTCACCTGTGGGTCCAAACTTCTGCTGCTGCTCCGGTTGCTGTTCCGGTTCCTGTTGCTGTTGCTGTTGCTGCTGCTGATGCTGCTGGTCCTGCAGGCACTCCAGCTCTGGGAGTCGATAGATGCGCGCGCCCAGGCGCAATTCGTCGCTCTTCCAGCTGTGCCCTGTAGTATCACTAGCAGCAGCAGCAGGCGCAGCAGCAGCAGCAACTGGCGCAGAGACAGCGGAGGCAGGGCGCAGCACCGCTGCTTCGAGGACATCAATTGAAGGCGGCAGCAGCTGCAAATACTCAGCGAAAACCCGCATGAAATCCTGTAGCTCCAGAAGCTCCGGGTGTCTGTACAGCTGCAGCAAAGAAAGAGGCAGCGGCCTCCGCTGGCACTGAGACGCACACAGACGCAACAGCAGCAGCAACAGCAGCAGCAGCATCAACGGTCTATATGAGAGCAAATTCAGCAGCACCCAAAGTAAGTTCGACACCGAGAGTCAGAGTAGCACCAGCAACGCGAACAGCAGCAACAGCAGCAGCGGCGGCAACAGCAGCAGCGGCGGCAACAGCAGCAGCAGCAGCTCCGCACAATACGACAACAAGCAAGAAGCAGTTGTGCTTATGTATTTCACCAGCTGCAGCTGCAGACACAACCCATAAATAAATATATATTTATTTATTTACTTACTTACTTATTCATATGAATATAATTTATATCCAAATATATATGAACATATTCATGCACTCATATATATAGAAATATATACATATAAATACATTATATATATGTAGGCATCCATTTATACATTCATATTTACCGTGGTATCCTCGAAGGGATCGATCAGCAGTTCGTCTTTTGGTTCCACAGCTGCCTCCGCCTCATCCGCTTGCTGCTGTTGCTGCTGCTGCTGCTGCAGCTGCGGCTGCAGCTGTAGCTGCAGCTGCGCTGCTGCCTTGCGCATGTTTAGTGCTGCTGCTGCAGCATCCCTGCATCCCTGCTGCGAGTCGAAGTCCATTAGGCCCGGCGTGACGCTTCCGTGGCGTGGAGTTGGAGCAGTAGCAGCAACAGCAGCAGCTGCTCCTGCTGCTGTTGCTGCTGCTGCAGCTGTCACTGTTGCTTCGGGGTTCTGGCTGTCGCCGCGCTGGCGTCTGCAGCGCTTCGCGGGCCTCCCTCCAGCCGCAATTCCTTTTGCTGCCGCTGCTGCTGGTTGCTGCAGCAGCGGCCCAAGCGGCAAGTCTGATTCCTGGGTTTGCTGCTGCTGCTGCTGCAGAAGCAGCAGTTGCTGCTGCTGCTGGTCTTGCTGCCTGCGCCCCACATCCTCCTGAAATGCTGCTGGCTCTGGAGCGAGCAAAAACTCAAGCGGCGGGATGTACACATTTGCTGCTGCCGCTTTTTTGATAAGGGTTTGGCAGAAGGGGCCATGAAGCAAGCTGCTGCTGCTGCTGCTGCTGCTGCTGCTGTTGAGAGTTGCTTCGAATGCAGCAATCTGAGTAAGAAGGAAGCGAGCGATGGAGACAATATATTCCTCTGTACATCCAGCAACAGCAAACGCTGCACCCCAGCAGCAGCGAGGGCTCGTGCTGCCATCTGCTAGCAGCAGCACCCCTGTGCCTTCAGGATCTGCAAGCGACAGCAGCTGCAGCCCCCGGCCCTTTCGTGTAGGCAGCGCTGATATCAGCTTCGCCTGTGCAAACACCAGATTCGGATCCTGCTGCTGCTGCTGCTGCTGAGAGAGCAAAGTGGGGTCCTGCTGCTCCTGCTGCTGCTGCTGCCGACTGCCGCGCGAACCGTTGCGGCTCCCCCCTCGACCACCGCTGCTTCTTGCTGGAGACGTTGGCTGCTCCTGCTGCATCACCTGTGGCAACAGATGCTGCTGCTGAAGCTGCTGCTGTTGCTGCTGCTGTTCCTGCTGTTGGGGGCTTTCTGGCATGTCGTCATCTTGCTGCGACGAAGTTGCAGTTGCTGCTGCGCCACCATTTGCTGCCGGTGCTGCTGCTGCAGCAGCAGGTTCTCTGAGGTTGCTGCTAGATTCTGTCTCTGTGAGAGCGTCTGCCGAGGCAGATATGGTAGGATCTGTCTGTTGCTGCAGTCCGTTGTGCTGCTGCTGCTCCTGCTGCTGCTGCTCCTGCTGCTGCTGCTGCTCCTGTTGCTGCTGGACCCTCTGTTTGGCGGTTTCTGCTGCAGTTAGGAGCGTGCAGAGCTCCTCGAAGGTGGAGTTAGGGTGTACGTACAGCTGCGGCACTACGCGCGCTGCAACTTCAAAACGCTTCTTAAAAGAAGCGAACAGAGACACATAACGCCCTGCTGGTCTCTCTAGGCGGTAGCAGCGGCCGGAGGTGCTGCTGCACCACAGAGCTGGGATGCTGTCGGGGCTGCACCCGTAGCTTATACGCCTGCAAACACCAGCAGCAGCAGTAGCACCAGCAGCAGCAGGGATAGCAGCAGCCCACCAGCGGCAGAAACACCATTAGCAGCAGCAGCAGCAGCGCGGGCAAAAGCAGCAGTAACGACAGCGTCGTCAGCAGCATCAGCAGCATCAGCAGCAGCAGAGGCAGCAGCAGAAGCAGCGGCAGAAGCAGCAGGAGAAGCAGCAGCACCAGCGGCAGCACCAACCCACCAATCGCGCAGGTCAATCCGCACAGAAAACGCCTTCAAACTCTTCGCCAGCTTAACAGGACAAGTAGGCAGCGTAGCAGCAGCAGCAGCAGCAGCTGCTGCTGCTGCTGCTGCCTTCTCTGTTTGGGCCTCAGTAGCAAATGCACACGAACTGCCGTCCTCTGCTGCGCCTAACGATCCCTGCTGCTGCTGCTGCTGCTGCTGCAGTCCAGTTACGGGCTGTCCGTAGCAAGCAATGGAGCTGCCGTCTGCGAGCTGCTGCTGTTGCTGCTGCTGCTGGGATTTGAGTGCCTTGCGGCCTCTGGGGTGCTGCTGCTGCTGCTGCTGTTTGTTGCTGCGGGCGAAGAGCTGCGGGTACACCTCAGCAGCAACCGGGTGGCCGCATGCAATCAACGCCTGCGGTGAGTGCACGAGGGCGACGTTCACGAGTTTTGCATACAGCACAACTTCACCAGGTTCCTCCTGTTCCTCCTGCAGCAGCAGCAGAAGCAGCAGCAGCAGAAGCAGCAGCAGCAAGAGGAGCAGCAAATACAGTAGCAGTAGCGGCACCACACGCGGCAGCAGTAGCACCAGCAAGAGCAGCAAGAACAGCAGCAAATACAGCAGCAGTAGCAGTAGCACACGCAGCAGCAGCAGCAGGAGCAGCAAGAGCAGCAGCAAATACAGCAACAGTAGCAGTAGCACACACACACACACACACACACACACACACACACACACACACACACACACACACACACT